GCCAGATGCTGGCATCTGATTGATTCATGCAACTGATCTTTTGTAATATCAATTAAAAAGGACTGTGTCAGGTTAATGATTTGGTTGTTTGGCTAACTAATTCAAAGGACTACATATCTGGAAATTATCTTTTCATAAAGGATTATGACATTCAATATCTGCAGGACATTTGCTTACTTGTATTTGCATGAGGGAAATGGAAACCAGTAACTAAAAATATGCGACAGGTGGAACAAGTTAGCACAGGAGAGGTAGATCAAAACTAACACAACTTGTTAAATATCCATGGAGCTGATTTTAAATTTACTGATTGTCGTTGATGACATATTTGGTACACGTAATAGGATTGGACAAGATAATTTATCACGTATCCTGTTTTTTAATGATATCCAATCTATCCAATTAGCGTATCCATTATGACTTACATGTACTACATGCTTATCGAAGGTTTCTATTAGTGACAATAAAACATTAACTAGTGAATAAATGACATAATCTTATTTGGCAACATAATGTCCTTAACATTACACTATAGTGCTTCTGTTTTCCTAGAAAATTATGATACTCCTACTGCGAGGAAGTGCCATTGGGTATTGCTCGAAACTTAAAATTTGGAAAGAGGTGAAAGAGTGGCAAAAAAGATTCATGTAGCGAACCCCAAATTGACTGCGAAGAAAGCTTAGTTTAACGTTGTTTTTCAAAAGGGACAAGAAAATAATGCATAAATAAAGATAAAAAGGCGTATTTCTTACTCCTAATTAAGTAGATCTCATGTTTAAATAAATAAAGAAAAAGGCGTATTTCTTCCTCCTAATTAAGTAAATCTCATGTTTAAATATGCTATATAAAAACATCTAAGTAGAGTTCAACAAAATTCGAGGATAATCAGGACATGGAGTTAATCTGCCCTCAAAATCTAAAAAGAAAGATTTGGGTTAGTTTAACATTGATAGAATTAGTAGATGCACCGAATCGTGTGGTTGGATTAAGTTCCATAAGGTTTTAATGTCCTTATACTCCTAATCTAACCCGTCCCCCTTAAAGTATTTGTTATGTGCACCGGACAATATAATAGACAAGATTTTAGCTTCTTCTTCTTCCGTAATACTGTCCACTTCCACCTTACAAATCCTACTATATCTGACCCTCTCTGAATTGTTTTTAAATTAAACTATGGATTTTATTCCCCTCTCCAAATTTGTATAAATAGCAACCCTTTTTGCACTTCAACCAAGCATTAAAACTTTGAAGTTTCACTAAACAAAAGAAAAGAAAGAAGTAAGATGGATGCTAAAAACTTTGGCTGCGGCATCAGATCATTGTTCCAGCTTCTTTTAGCAGTTCTCATATTCGGTTTTATGGCATCTTTAGCAGATGCAAAAACTCACCACCATGAATTTGATGTATGTATTTTGTACCATCTTCTCGTCTTATCCTTTTCTCTTAGGTTCATTACAACTTACTCAGTTTGAAAATATATTCTGATTGTCACAGGTTCAAGAAACTCCAGTGAAGAGGCTGTGCAGAACCCACAACATAATCACAGTTAATGGGAAATTTCCAGGGCCAACTCTTGCAGTAAGAAATGGAGATACACTCGTCATCAAAGTCACGAATAGAGCTCGTTACAATGTCACACTCCACTGGTAATATAATATATAAAATTCGTGTGTACGTGTAAACATGCATATATTGACATATCTAGTATGTCAGACTTGATATTAGACAATGTTAAAAGAGAAAAAGAAGTTAAAATCCCAAGCGTTGTCCTATACAGTGCAGTCAAGTACAACGCATAATGCTCTCGTGATGGTTTCTTTTAGGTTCTATGTTCATCAAGATACAAATATTCTTATTGATAATATCTTTCCGTTGGAATGTAACCTAACTTTTCAATTTTCACAAGGCATGGAATTCGTCAGATGCGAACACCATGGGCCGATGGTCCCGAATATGTTACTCAATGTCCAATTAGACCGGGAGCCACTTATACTTACCGGTTTACAATCGAAAATCAGGAAGGTACATTGTGGTGGCATGCTCACAGCAGATGGCTCAGAGCCACAGTCTATGGAGCAATTATTATCTTTCCGAAATCTGGCTCCTCATATCCCTTTCCAAAACCCAATTTAGAAGTTCCTATTATTCTAGGTAATTAACCATTTTTCGCCACTCAACTTTCTGATTTAATTAGCCTATGTTTGAGTTAGAAATTCTCATATAAATATTAATGTAACTAATGAACACAGGTGAATGGTGGGACAGAAACATTATTGATGTCATGAGACAGGCACTTTTTACTGGAGCAGCACCAAATGTTTCAGATGCATACACTATTAATGGTCAGCCTGGTGACCTATACAGATGCTCCAGCAAAGGTCTAATACTCATCTAGAAAATTAGAATTTCATAATCAAGAAAAAGTTAACCTGATGAAAATTGAATAATAAACTGGACTTCGAAAATCAACTAGCCAGAAATGAATGACAGTACAAAAATAATAGCTGTTTTTATGTTCCAATGCAGCTACGAAGAAAATCTCAGTTAAATCCGGGGAGACAGTTCTTCTCAGAGTCATCAACGCTGCACTTAATCAACAGCTCTTTTTCACTGTGGCCAATCACAAACTAACCGTAGTTGAAGCTGATGCTTCCTATCACAAACCATTTACCACAAGGGTCATCATGGTTGGACCTGGACAGACAACTAATGTCCTACTCACGGCTGACCAACCACCAGCACGCTATTATATGGCTGCAAGTGCTTATGCTACAGCACAGAATGCGCCATTTGACAACACAACCACCACTGCAATTCTCGAGTACAAAAATGCCCGAAGAAGATCATCCTCGAGTCCCGTGCTACCTCAGCTGCCGGCCTTCAATGACACTGCCACCACAACTGCATTTACAAGCCAACTGAGGAGTATTCCTTCAAACGCCAAAGTCCCTACAAAGATTGACAAGAAATTGTTTTTTACGGTGGGATTAGGAGTTGTCAATTGTGCCCCTGGACCTAGATGTCAAGGACCAAATAATACCCGCTTTGCTGCCAGCATGAACAATGTTTCATTTGTGCTTCCTAGAAGGACCTCCTTGTTACAAGCCTATTACCAAAATATTCCTGGAGTTTTTACCACAGATTTTCCTCGAGTTCCGCCAGTGAAATTCAACTACACAGGCAATGTGAGCCGTGCATTGTGGCAACCACGTTTTGCGACTAAGCTGTACAAATTAAAGTATGGTTCAAATGTACAAATTGTGTTGCAAGATACAGCCATCTTCTCAACAGAGGACCATCCTATTCATCTTCACGGGTACCATTTCTTCGTCGTGGGACAAGGATTTGGCAATTTCAATCCCCAAACAGATACTTCTAGATTCAACCTTGTTGATCCACCAGTTAGAAATACAATAGATGTGCCTGTTGGTGGATGGGCTGTCATACGTTTCGTGGCTGATAATCCAGGTGAGTTGTAGATTATATTTTAAGCAGTATATTAGAAAATCCTCTGATATCATAGCTAAATTAGCACAATAATTATAACCATATAAAACCTCATTTTGCAACAGGAGTTTGGCTGTTTCATTGTCATATAGATTCCCATCTCACTTGGGGTCTTGCTATGTCATTCCTGGTTGAAAATGGAAAGGGGAAATTACAATCCATTGAGCCGCCTCCTGCTGATCTGCCTACCTGCTGAGAACGATGCATGAAAAAAAGTGCTGAATATTAAAATTTGATTAATTTTGTCTTCAGTTCAAAGGTTTTGTTTTGGCAGTATTTGTTCTCTTGATTGTTATGTCTCATATTCAGGTAACCAATGACAGGTTATTGAGAATAAGTATTAGTTTGTTGTTATAATGTTATTTTTTCTTGGTAGTTGACTGTTTCGAATTTTCTTGGCTCAAGTAAGCACATTCGTGCATTCTCGAATTTACTAGTCAAATTTCAATTTGTATCCATTTCAATCATGCATTCTCAAGTGATAATGAACATTTTATTTCTTTACTTTCGTTCTCTCCATTGCTCTAAGCTATCTGTAACTCGAGCACGTGTCTAGAGAAATGATGGAATCATCGTGGTGTAAGTCTTCTAATGCTCAATTAACGAAATGAAGTGTGTAATAAATTCAATCCATGGAACAAATTCTAGCTTCAAAGCGCGTAACTCTTCGAAACTATATTGTTATAAGAACGCATATTCTAGTGACAAAACGAATCAAATGTCTCATTAGTTACCCTATTCCATCTTGCAGAACCAAGTCCCAGAACAAGGAAACTACTTTTTTTCTTAATTTTTTAATTTCGGCAACAATCATAGTTTAGTTTTTAAGAATGAAGTGGGGATGAAGACAGTTGAAGATTTTTTTTAAATCGATAAATTCAGATTATTCGCACATACTTAAAAAAAAAAAAAACACATCTTTTAGATGTCTAGGTCTATTTCCAGGTATTTTTTCCGTTCTATTATGAGTGATTTTTGATCTCTTAATACCTAGTTCTCAAACTCCACTAATGGAGAATTTATGGCAGTGTCAGAGGACTAATCCTAAAGAAACCCCACGTTTTGTGGAGGAAGTCCAGGTGAGATGCAGATTATATTTTCCCAAATCCCGCTGAGAATTATCATCAACAAAACGACTAAAAAAAAAAATCCTCCCCGAATTATGAATTTTTTTTTATTGTAACTGCATTTGTGTTCCTGATTTCATTACAGGATTATGAAGCATCTGAAGTTGAAACAAATTGGTTGATAACGAGCTTCAATGAAGAGTACACATTACAGGTGAAAAAACAGAGAGAAAAAAAGACCCTAATTATTTGTCAAATCTATGCTCTTGCATTTAGTCCACCAAAAAGCTCAACTTCTAGAAAGCCATACCTCAAAAAAACAAAACCAATACAATACCCTCAAATCGATCCCTCGAAGCTACTAATTGAATAGTCTTTGACAATTCCGTTTGTTTGTTCAAACTTTGATAACCCTTGTTCAGAATATCATGGGAGGATCTTTTGCCGTCGGCGAGGAGTCTCTCTCTTCACAAACATCTTCTCAAATTCATTCAAAGGCCTGCTGGAGCCATCGGCTATGCTAATGAATTTCCAGCCACCTCCATTACCTCGTTTTCCTTTGGGACCTAGTTTCTCCACCATGAAATTCCATCCTCCAGATGAACGTCTCCTGCTGTATTTGTGGCATTTCACCTTCTTTGCCATCTTATAAATTACGTAGAATGACATTGTCATTAAAAGAAGTATCGACCGAAGATTTGAAATACTGAAGATTAGAAAATGATACTCAGAAAGCATTATTTACATTACTCAAAAGAATTTGCGTGTTTACCTTCATCTTGTTGAAGTTCATCCTCTGAACAAACTCCTGGTACAAAATTTCATCCTCTTTCATTGAGATCTCATAATGCACCTCATCTGGGTCTCCAGTGGTACCATCCCAACCCTCAGGCATGACTTTAAAATCTGGCTTATATGGCAGAGAGGCGACATGGAACTCCCTATCATGTGAAATGAAAAATCTGCAGACTGAAGTATCCAGAAAAATTACTTGATGACAAGAGTACACTCCAGCACGTCAAAGAATTTAACCAAGTGGTTAGTAACAGACAATAAGCAGCCAGAGGCAACATCAAAATTTTGCATATACAGTGGGGCAGAAACGAAGTTAAGGTCAACTCTTACCAGATATTACTGAGAAAAATAGATGAGGAATCTTCTGGAGTGAAAACTAGCATGTGAATTTGAAAAGGTAATCACCTAAATTCAAATCAACTACCACATCCAAATGACCACTCCAAAAGAACACAGCACATAAGTTTTGGTTAAAATACACGAGTTTAGTCTTTACCAGACACTAGATGCCAATGAAGACAGGAGAATGGAGATTTATTTCCAACAAAACGTAACTAATATTTCATCTCTTGGCAAGAACGCAAAAAATAAAAAATAAATAAAGAAAGTGAAAAAAGAAAACAAAAGATTTCCTTCTTTAGAACTCTTATTTTACGTTGGCTTAAAGAAATCAGTGACCCATCACACGGCTCTCAAACCCAACCTGTGTGGATCCCGGGAGACAAAGTCAAAGCGCTTGATCCTTTGCACCATACTATGAGATGCTCCTACCCGTCGATCTAGGAGTTTGATTCTCGTGATAATTTTCCTTTGCCCCATGCTTTTTCCAATAAACGTTTGTTACATTTCTTTATGTTTTTTGTACCATTGTTTTTTTTTTCTTTAGCCATTCTTCTTCTTGTTTTTTTTTTTTCAAATCGAACTAAATTTACATTCATTAATGTCCCCCCAAGACAACAGATGACATAAAAAGTGGAATACAATCAACACAATTATAGGCAATTGGGACGTAGTAGAAAATAAAGCAAGATTACGGGCCATCCTATTCCCCTCGTGGCAGAGAGCAAGATTATATTTATGGGCCACTGTATTCCTCTCGTGGCAGAAAGCAAAAGCTTCACCCACCTCCAGATCATAAATCTTGTGACCCGTTCAGCACATGCTGCCACCACCGAACCAGCCTCGTCTCTAACAAACGCACCCATGCAGAGCCATCCTTATTAGACTCTGATAGCCGCACCCGTGTTTAAAGTCAGCACCCCTGGGCCAGCCCCTCCCAACCACTTTCCACGCCATCCCTATGGTCACTCTTGGTCAGTTGGCGTTGGTAATTCGCAGCCTCAAGGACCAAGTGAAGCTTCCCTCATGTTCCTGCCTTGAACAACCCAATTTCTATCACCCCATAGAGCTAAGAGGGTGGCAGCAAATATGGTGAACTGCAACCAAGGCGGTGATACATGTTTAAAATTGTCCAAGGATTATTTTGTGTCAAGCGTGTGAGATAAAACCTCAAAATATAAAGTTACCCTAGGAAAATGGGTTTTTATCAGCTGATAAATTGCAAGAGAAATTATCTTTATGTAAATTTGGGGTGGGGCCGGATATATTACATTTTTCATCATAATCAAACTGAAATGACAAGGCACTTTACCCAAACAGCATTTTTGCTGAAACTATCAAGGATTGGATAGGCCATTGGATATATGGTACCAAAGTATCTCATTTGGGGTTCTACTGATAGGAAAAAACTTGTTTACCTTAGAAGAAAATATTTGAAAGGTCATTAGTTATTTTCACCTAAAAACTAAAGGATTTTATAAGTAACTAATTACTTGAACTCAACATATATGAACCATTTGAATTTTTTTTTTAAAACTTAGTACCACAGAATGCCCAAAGCCTTAATAATGAAGAATTTTTGGAGCATAACCAAGGAAAGCAACAAGACATGCAAGTCCATACCAGAAATGTTATATCTTCTAGAATATTTATCTTCCTAGCATTTAATAATTGATGCTAGAGGGGTAACACCTAAAAATAACACGTTATTCAAATGAAAGTAAATGATCCTGCATTCAGTTGAAAGAATGTATCTTTCTTGTTTTGATTTCTGAAAGTACAGATCCAACAGAATAGATGGTCCTATTAATCTCAGGTTAACAGTGAATACAAATAGCAACATTATTCTTAAAAATGAATCAATAGTACACTAATACATCACACTATAAATTAGTACCTATTTGTATCACAAACTGTAAAACTCTTATTTATTTCTCTTTCTACGGCTATGCATAAGTAAAATGCCACAAAGTTGAGCAAACCAGCACTAGCAATGATATTTTCATCTCTTTGAGAATGCAACATGAGACTTGCAAATATTATGGCTTATGAACTGGGAAATTTCATTAAATGCAATCAGGATGTAGGAACTCAAAATCATGATGCCAACCCCAAATATATAGGAAATTATGTTTAGCTTCATGCTATTTTGTTGCATTTATATACACCAAAACTACTGTTTAAGTCTATTGCCTTGCCACGAAGACAAGACAAACTGGCAACATGGTCCACACCTTGCAAAGAAGACAAGACAAGTAGGCCAATAACGGCTTGGCCGGCTTTTCCAATGTGCAAAGAAAGTTTGATCGGTCACATTTGAACAAAACTACTGGGCAGCAGCTGTCAATGAGATTGAATTAGATTCCGGAGATCGTCAAAGATTACAACTATTATAGATAGATTGTTTTTACCATTAATTAATATTGCAATTGATTGCTACCATATTTAGTTGTTATTTNTATTATGGATAGATTGTTTTTACTATTTATTAATATTGTAATTGATTGCTATCATATTTAGTTGTTATTTTGGTTTCTATATAATGAGAGAACCTTTCACATAGAGAGGCATTGAATCTTTTATTGAGTATATTTGACAGCAGCTACAAACAATATTCAAACTAAAATTTCAGAGTTTGCAGTACATGTGCTTGTATCAAACACTTATGTTTTCCACAGTGCCATCACCGCAACATTAGGAATTAAAATCCAAGTTTGTAAAGACAACCCAAAATAAGTTACGTGAAACTTTCTAATCATCAGATGATTTTTCTGACAACAACACAGCAATAAATCACCAAAATGCAACAAAGTTTTACAGCAAACAGGTATTTATTGATGTACATGAGTGGCCATTATTTCAACAACAGTACAACTTACTACCAACTACCTCTTGCATATTACTGACAAATTCTAGTAACCAACCAATCCGTTTGGCTATTAGATAATTAACTTACAACTGAGATCATCAAACACAAACTGACAAGATAAGCCAAAAAGAAGCCAACTTTTTGGCTTCTTTTATAGCAATGAGCTAAGCCAAACATGCTTATAAGCAATTACACATATAGTATGTACAACTATGAAGTCAAAGAGCACATCTAATCTTTTCATTCACTTACTCTGGGCAGTTATCAAGCAAGAGCTCGACAGAATCATCGAGCGCGCATCCAAGCTTCTTCTCCTCCTCTTCCTCAAGCTCCTTGAGCCACAAAATCGCATGCACCCTCTGCCTCATAATACTGTATTCCTTTGCCAACCTTTCCACAGTGTACAACTCCGGGTTTTCCTTGTGCTTTTTATAAATCTCTGACTTCACTGAATCCTTCAGATATGACCCTCTTGCACCTGGCTCCCTCACCTGCACTTGCATTTTTTCAAGAGCGTATCAAAATTACATTTTTCTTTCTTTTTTGTATGTAAATCTAAGTTTCCCTATTCAACTACTTGATCGCTATCAAAAACGGGAAAGAAGAAAACGTGCAAGGACGAAAATGGAATTGAGTAATTTTTCCCATTCCGAAATCTAGGTTTTTCCCTACAAATACTAGGATACCGTCAAGACTGGCAAAATAACACCTAGAGACTGAAAATCATAATTCCAAAGAAAAATAAGGGTACGTTCTCTTTATTGTTTTCAAGCTGTTTTCTGTTTTCGATTTTCCAAAAGGGCGAAAACGCGTTCTCTTTCCTATTTTCGAAAACACATTTTTTTTTTTGATAACCATGAATGTACGAGCCAGCTTGCGCGCACCTCGACTAATTCCACGGGGTCCTGAAGTTTACGGCCGGGTACTCACCTCAGTAGCCCTAAGGGGATTCGAACTGGTGACCATTGGGGAGCAAACCCAAGGCCTGACCAATTGAACAACCCCTCAGGGTTTTCGAAAACGCATTTTTGAAAAAAAAAAAAAAAAACACTGAAAACACAAAACGTGCAAAACCGTGTTTTGACAAAACTGAAGCCAAAAGACGGTACATTTGCTAAAACATGTGAAATGAATTTCTCTCTCTCTCTCTCCCCCCTCTTTTCCTCTGGGATAATCCTATCGTCTCTCACAAAATCACGATCCAAAATTTCTTAGAGCTCCCCCTGCCAAATCTGCGGGTTTTCTACCTGCTGTTTCAATCTGATTTCCCTTTGGTTCTTTGCTTGCTATATTCTTTGCCATCTTTGCTTGCTGCTCTATATTACTTTTGTTGGGTCAGATTTCGCATTTGGTTTTTTAATTTTTGTTTCAAATTTATAACTTTTTTTGTGAAGTTTGGAGTGGATGGTTGTTTAAGAATTGAATTTTGAGTGTGGATTTGTCAATTGAGTTTTGTGAAGGAAATTGTTGCAAGAGCTTGGGAAGCTCTTCAAACTGATTTGTAAAGAGAGGTTCTCGTACACTCTGCGAACAAAGAATGTAAAGTCCTCCTATCTTCTATTTTTGGAGTGAACTAATGAGTTATACATTTGGTCTCAAAAATTGAGAAAAACTTTCTTTATTGTTTTGGATCTGAATGCCAGTTTTTTTATTTATGTAATGTGCTCATCTGTTAATGACAAAGGACCGTCATATGCAAATTTCTATTTCAACTTACCGTTTGAGTTACTATTCTCAGTACCCTTTTTTCTTCCCTGATCTCAATTATCTTTTCTTGGGCTTTGGAAGCCATTCCCAAGTGTGTAGACACAAATTTTTGCTTTTCTATAAAAAGGCTGCCCCTTTCTTGGTGGTCTATAATAAAGGAAACAATTTGATTACATATTAACGGAAAAGGGTATGCATAATTAGCAAATGGTGCCTTCAATATGGAAATACGTGTGAATGGTATATGAATGGTATATGGCCCAATCTTCTTTTTAATTTTCAATGCTCTTGAAATGACCATGGCAATTTCTTAGTTGATTATAATGCTCATTTCTTGTTTTATTACCTTCTAATGAAAATTTATATCAAGTAATTGTCTCAAACATAGGGTATCGCAAACTTGTTAAAGTTCCCTTGTTCAACTATACCATTAATCCAACTTTTTATGAGTAATACACTTTTTAATGTTGATCAACAGCCCTAATTGCGCATATTTTTTAGTTTAGAAGTTCAATCATATAACAATGAAATTTCATATTTTCTCCTCTGTAAGCATTACATGAAAATAAATGCAAAATATACCTTTTGAGATTTATAGCTCTTAAAAACCCTTGAATCAACAATATAATGTGAATAAAATACTTGAGAAGTTTGTCATGTTTGATTGTAGATCTGTTAGTCTAACTCTTGCAATTCACTTTAAAACTTATCATGTGAATTTTATCTCCGTTTCCATTTTAGCATAAAGCGGAGTATAGTGTAGCAAATATAATCTCCATCATCACAGTTTAGATGTACAAAGACTTATCCTTTTTTATTTGTATTCACTTTTGTAGTTGATGGTATTGTTCAATTGATACTCTGCATTTCTTCTTATATTAAAAACTTGGTAGAATTGAATGGGAAAAGGAAAGAAAAGATATCTTTGTACAATGTTATTAAAATCAATGCATGGTATATCAGAATGAAACTGAAAAAGAAATATAAAACAAGTTCCCTTATGTTTTTTAATTATTAATGTCCATTTCCTAGTCTTAAGCAACTAAGATAATGAGAAACCAAAATACTGGATAGTGTGATTTTTACTTAGAGTTGATGTAGGATTGATATGTGCCTATGTAATGACTTATACATTTCGTGATAATTTGATTTATATTGAATATAGAACATGGGTGGTCACAGAGTTAGGAATAAGGAACCAATGTCATGGTCGGATGAGAATGAAAACGCTTTTATNGAACAAATTTTCAACAAAATTTTTTATGAGAAAGTGAAATCAAACGCATTTTAATGTTCTACATTCACGAAAGACGAATGTGGCAGAATCAATGAAACTATGGTAGCTTCAACAAAAATGGACTACGGCATAGATAGATTAAAGGGAAAGTGGAACAGCTTACGTAAGATTCATCGCATGTTCTCCAAACTTTTGGGACATGCAGGTGTTACATGGGATCCAAATACCAACAAAGTTAATGCTACAGAGGAAGTTTGACAACACTTCTATACTGTATAAATATTTTTTAAAGAACATTTTCATCATTAGTTTTTTATCTTATCAATTGTACCCCTTTTCTAATGTGGCTTTTTTTTTAATGTAGATTAATAAGTTGGATTACAAACTGTTCAAAAGGGAAGGATGTAAGCACTACCACACTGTGAGGGAGATTTTTAGCGGGACCACAGCTACTGGAGGATTAGGCAATGCCTCCACTCAGTTTCCAAACACATCAGAGGAAGAAAGACAGCTAGAAGAGGATTTTTTGAACAGGGGAGTGCATGTACGTGTGGAAAATGATGATGAAGTCGATGAGGTTTCAAATACCCGTCGGCGTGAGGAAATTGGTACATCAGGTGAACGCCGATGTTAAGATCAGTAAAAGTGATAAACTCGAGACCTGCATAGCATAATGGTCATCTACAGTTAGTATGAGGAATGAAGAAACTGAACTTAGAACACTTTACCTAAAAGAAAAGTTTGCAAAGATCCAAGGAAAATCATGTAATCAATCTGGTAGTGAAGTTAGTAGTCTGGATCCTTATTCAAATGTTATATGCATGGACATCTTAAACAATATGGAAGGAGTGTCCAATGAGGTTTATATGAAAGCAATAACGACTTTTAAGGATCCCGATTTCAGGGTGTCGTTTGTGAAGATGCCGAAGCAAGGAGAAGACCTATCTTGGAACTATTTTGATATGATTGCTGTTTTAATTTCTCTAGTATCTTGTTGTTTTCATTTGTGATGTGGATGGTTGAACCACTGTGTTATTTTCATAGCTCCAAGTACTTTTGTGAACTTTCTTGGTGATGTACTGTTTTCATGTATGAACTTAGTGATGATGTTGGTTGTAGAACTAATGTTAATTTTTATTTTAATTTCTCAATACTAGATTACTTGTTTTATTTGAATGATGGTTTTAATTTTATATGATAATTACTGTGGGTATATTTTGTTTACAGTATGGATGATAATGTGAATACCGACGATTCCATTGATGAAGGTTCGAGTGATGATGATTGTATAGGCTCAATAGATGGTACACATGTTGCAGTTTGGGCACCTGCACGAGACAAACATTTTTTCGTGGAAAGAAAACTAATGTAACATAAAATGTGATGTTGACATGTGATTTCGATATGAAATTCACGTTTGTGTATTCTGGCTGGGAAGACGTGATTCGCGAGTATTCGTTGACGCAGTCACAAAAAGATCGAACAACTTTCCTATGCCACGTGAAGGTATATTCTTGCATTTCAAATAATTATAGTGCATCATGCATGTATCTACATTGTTACCCTATGCGAGTCTTTTTTTTTTTTTTCATAGATCAATTTTACCTTGTTGATTCTGGCTATCCAAACATGCCCGAATTTCTTGCCCCTTATCGAGGTCAAAGATATTATATGCGTGACCATGATGGACGAGGAAAACTACGTGAAAAGGAAGAATTGTTCAACTATAGACACTCCTCGTGTCGTAACATTATTGAACGTTGTATTGGAGTTTTAAATGCAAGATTTCCTATATTGAAATTGATTACCAATTATCCACTTAGTAGGCAAAGACAAATCCCTACTGCATGTTGTGCAATACACAACTTTATTCGCCAAGAGTACGCTTTAGATAGGTTGTTCGTCGAGTATTCAGAGGAGAATATAGTGTTTCAAAATATACTGGAAGTCATATATTTTGATACTAGTCAAACAGCTCTAATAGGAAAAGTCCGTGATCAAATTGCTACACACATATGGAATGACTACTCATGACGTCGTACATGACTCCGTGAATTTATTTTATATTTTGTTTAGTATCTGTTTGTTTTGTTAAGAACGTAAACTTCTAATTATATCGATTGAACTGTTTTGCCAAATTTAATTTAGGTTATGTTTTTTATATTAGGAATTTTTTTTTTAAGATTCACCAATTTCAAAATTTATATGTTATTTACTGTATTAACATTAAACTATTAAAATTTATTAAATAATTAAATTTCTTGAATAAAATATTATAAAAAAAATATTCTCAAAATTTCAAAGTAAACGCGTTTTCCATTTTTATGTTTTGAGAAACAGTTCCTCAAAATGATAAAAAGAACGCATTTTCAGCAATTTCAAAAGATTCACTCAAAACACAAAACACAAAATGAATTCAAAATTCAAAACTGAAACATAAACAGAATAACCCCTAACTTGTTTCAGAATATACCCTTTCCCCTAGTGAACCCTCCAACAACATTACATAAAGGCACACAGGCAAACGCCACAGTTTTTCCCCACTTTTTCAGTTTTTTTCTGCAGTAATTGACTAGATAAAGAAATTAGAAGTAACTATAATGTAAGAAATTAGGTTCTGTTATTTGAATATTACTTCAAACACCACATGAAATAAACATTAATAAAGAAATTTGAACTCTGGGTTTTGTTCTCCATCCATCAAATTACTGAAAAATAGAGAAGTTGAACGCAGATAAATGATAAGAGAAAAAAAAATCAGTTATTTTACCTGTTTCATGAGTTCAGTCATTTCTTTCATTCTATCATCCCAACCATCCACAAAAGCTTTTCCCCTGTGGTTCTCTGACTCCAACTCCTTAACCTTCGCCAATTCCATGTCCGTCCACCAAGCTTCGGAATGCCAGTTCCCAGTCCAATTCTTAATCGAGACCCCGCCCTGATTCTGACCCAAGCCACCTCCACTAGTCTGACCTCGATCAGAACCAGGTTCCACCTGCTGCCCAACGACTTCACCATCAAAGTGCTCATTTGTTAGCCCAGTAGACCACGAGGATGGGCCCACGTCCCATCCCCTGTCCCACCGAAATGGGCTGCCCAATCGAGTTCTTTCTTGAGGAAATTACACCTACACCTGCTTTTAGATTTCCATTTTCATAAATCCTGATTCAAGTTCCACTTTTCAAAAATCAGGTTTTAATTAATAATTAAAAAAAATTTAATTTTTTTTTACAATAAATTAATTTATATCTATCTCAAACTCTAAAACCATTAACCCATAACCTTCTTCCTCCCGTCTCTCTCTGCGACACCACCACGACGCCGCAGCCGCCACCGCCGCCGCCGTCTTCTCTCGCCCATTCCTCCATTGCTGTTCTTCACCCATATCTCCACTCCCTCGCCATTGTCAAACCTTGAATCGACATTGAGACGCCGTCTCATCTCCTCCCTCATCTCCCTTTCCCTGTTCTCTCGCCGACAGTTGGGGCAGTCTCGCCACCGTCACCACCAGGCTCTCTCTCGTCGGCGGTTGGGTGCGGTGGTGGTGTCTCAAGAACCCACCACCACTGGATCTGAAAACCAGATCTGCCTTGGTCGGGACGTCGTGGTGGTGATTTGGTTTTTTTTTTTGGGCTGTGGTCCGGTATGGTGGAGTTATCACGGGAGAAGTGGGAGTCGGGGAAGTGTTGGAGAACGGGAAAGTGAGAATACATCGAAACTGCTTGATTCGGATGTGAAGCAGAAAGGTCGGATCGAGGAAGATGAAGAGGAAGGTGCTTGTCAGTTTGTTGGAGAGCCG